TTTATTTATTAGACATGTAGTCCAAATTGGTTAATTATCAAATGTATTATGGAGATATTTTTTCTTTCCAAATATTAGGTCTCTTTCACAAATGTCTTCGTTTTTCAAACTACTTGAACCCGAGACCTCTGATAATATTTGAACCCTTCATAAACAAGGTGCGCAAAGCTTCAATATTTTTATTTTTTTTTTGGTTTTCCACCCGGTGTCTGGAGCCCACATTGGAGCTCCGATTAAATCCGGATCGCGCACTGCAGGGCCCATTCGGGGGTGACGCTCCCAACATGATTTTCTCCATATCCAGGGCTCGAACCCGATACCTCTGGTTAAGGGTGAAACACTCCCACCAGTGCACCACGACCATGTTGGTTAAAGCTTCAATATTAACCCTTGCCTAATCCATGAGTTTGACTGTTTCTTTTAAAGATCGACCATTTGCCTAGACTTGGGTAGGTAAAATCTAACCATACACCTATCACTACAAAAAAAAGGTTTTAGAACTTCGTCGTTAAATATATAACTCTAACTAACATTTTTATTTATTTATAATCTATCGCTAAATAAGATTAACTACGAATTTTGCTATTTAGTTATGGCACATCAAACAGGGGAAAAGAAAAGTGTGACTTTTCACATGGTGGTTGAGACATAGTTAACCTTAGAAAGGTGGATGTCATGCCTATAGACTTATAAGCCTTCAACCACCAAAAACTACATTCTTTATTTTTTCCCCCTATAAATAAGAGCTTCACTTGAATACATTTCCCATATAAAGCTAACAATCTCATCTTATACACTACAAAAAAGAAAAAAGAAAAAGAAAAAGAATTAGCGACATACAATTTTGTAGCTAAACAACAGAATACGTTACTAATCCTATTTAGTGACGGATTAACAACAATTATCAATATTTTTATATAGTTACCAACAATTTAACGACGAAGTTCATAGCTAATTCCGAGAGATATATTCGATTATGCCTCTTCTCAATAATCATATTGTGTCTCTTTTCTTGAGTGCCAATAAATCAGATGGAGTAAGAAGAAAAGGAAGGAAAAAACCCTATCGAAGTTTGCTGGTATTGTTTCTAACTATACAAAACTTTAGATTCATGTAGATAGTTAAAATCACACTAAGTACTTGTGATTAAAAAAAATAGTTTTATAACTTTACTGTTATTATGACGACTAAAATTCATTTAGTTTGATGCGAAAAATAAAGTTTTATTGTGATTTTAGTGTTATGATGAATAAGAAGTTAGTGACTATACGTGAAATTGACCCTCGTGTTGCCTCAAAAGTTCAAATTTGTAACCTAATTAGCTTTTGTTTGTAGTAGGGGCGGATCCAGTATTTAGCAGAAGGTGTATTTTTCGCACAAACTATGTGTTTATGATAAAATTTTCATCTACTATGTAAACATAGAAAAAATTATTATCGCCAAGAATTGATAAACTAAATATTCTAAATCCGCTTCTCGTTTCTAAACTTCTTCTTGTAGTGTTATTGTTATTTTTTTTATCTTATAATTTTAATATCTAGTTTGTTAGTTAGGGCTAATGATATCTCGACGAATCCTTTAAATAATTAAGCTTATATACTTATAATTTAATTTGCAAGTATTGAAATTAATTCATGCAAACATAGTGAAAAGATAGCACACAACAAAAGTAAAATATATACATAAGTGATATTGGGAATATGTTTTCATCATGTTAGTACGTTTGTTTGGTTTAGAAAATATAAAATTCAAATCTATCTTCTTTTTTTTTCAGGATACAATTTGGTAAATCATCTGGAACATTCATTTGAGCAAGAAAGTTAGAGTTAGTACGACGATGAAGGTACGAAGATGATGTTGTTTTTGCCAACCTCAACCTCGGACCTTCATCTATAACGTCAATTATGACGTAGGTGCACACGTGGAACGTTCATCACCACTATTTCACATAATATTTCACTCAAGAAAGTTTTGTGCATGGCCCAAAGACAACATGAAGTTTGTTAATTATTAGTCGAGGCCTATATACATAACACAACAAAAAATGCCTTTAGTGGCAATAACAAATGTTACTTAGAAACGAACTATTTAGAGGTGGATTCAAGATTTATAATTTTGTTGATTCAATATTAAAGATTATCAGCATTGTTTTCATTATATTATTATAGTTACAAATTCATATTTATTATTTATTGTAATATTGGTGAATTTCTATATATAAATTTATGTATCGTACCAAAAGTAACAGGTTCAGATGGATATATAATGTACTAAAATACTATATCTGCCTCTAAACAAACATTCAATTGATAGTCATGAAAACAATCTTTTGCAGAAATATATTGTAAATTAAAATGGTATACAATACATTCAAATTTAATTAGTCAAAATTGTCCTCTACACATAACTAGAGCATAATGCACTGAGTTGTCCTTAATATTAGTGATAGTTTATTACGTAGGTTGGCTACAAAGTTTGACTAAGGCCTTCAATAATAAGTTAATAACAGTATAATCCTACAAGTGAAGTATGAAATTAATCAAAATCTTGTAACACTTATATTCAGATTAATTTGGGTTATGGTAGTGTAAATAGTATATGAGACAAAATCCTCATAAACTTTATATTGAAATTGACATTTTTTCATCAATAATTCTTATTTTGTCTCAATTTGAGTTTCTGGAATGGCAATTATTGTTTTCTGGTTCATGTACATATATAATCTCTTCAATGAATAATTAATAAAGTGCTTTTTCGTGTTTGTCTTCTTATCAATGTCATTTTCCCACTTGTTTAGATCTAGAGAATCAAAACACAACAACAAAGACATATCCAATTGTAACACTACAAATTACAAATAGGATACGAAGATAGTGGTGTGTACGTAACTTTATTTTTATCTTGTGAAAGTAGATAACCGATTTAAATAAATCTTTTGCTTAGGTAAACTATAAACCCTATCAATATCAAATATTGAAAGGAAATATATTAGTGAAAAAGTCATGCTAAAATTTTAATTATTGCATTATTTTTTTGTTATGACTGTCCTCATTTATGTATTCTTTTTTTCCAAACTATCTGAAAATGTTTTATTTTGAGCCAAGAGGGTCTATCATATACAACTTCTCTATCTCTATGAGGTAGAGGTAAGGTCTGCCACTATTATTGTACCCTCTCCAAATCTTACCTGTATGAAATTACACTGGGTATATATACTGTTAAAGAAGTCATGTTAAAAATAAAATAAGAAAGCAATAACAACAACAAATAATATGATAATTGAAACAAAGAAAATAATAAGTAAAGCCCCCTATTGTTTGATCCAATATTGACCGGGGACGAGCCAAGAAATAGAAAGGAGAAAGCCCATCTCTTTCCGGGCGGCGTCCTTCATTCTTAGTATTGCACAGTCAGTCCCGCATGAGTAGAGGCGCGCAGGCAAGCGAATAGAAAAGTAGTCTTTCTCCACGGCAAGCATATTCAAGTACCGAACAGCCCGAGGAGTAGGCTTCCCGATGCTGTTCAAACCCATCTTTCGTTGAAAAATCAAACAATTCAGATAGTTTATCCCTGCGGGGAGGACCTCAGCTCAGGATGTAGTCGATGTCTTGATATCCTTGTGAATCTTCCAAGATGTTAAAGGTGGAGCGAATCCGAAAGATTGCCTCAGTTCGGATTGTTCTCTGTAACTCAGGAACATGAAGTTGGAATCGCTAGTAATCGCGGATCAGCATGCCGCGGTGAATCGTCCGAGAGATATAGCTCTTCAGCGCATACATACAGAGATCCTGTGATTTGATTTGGGCTAGCGATGAGGGGAAAAGAATCCCAATGTATGGTCCTAATTTAAACACGCCACCTACACGACTCACTACATAGGTTTACGAAATGCAGGACGTCGTCGTCACCTGCAAGATAAGGCCAAAAACTTGACTAATTATACAATTAAATAATAAAATGATAGGAGAGCAATAATTATAACAATAGTGATAAGTAACACTAGACAACATTCAATTACCTACTAACGTTCTACTTTAATTCTTGATCTCTATACCCTTTTATCTAAGTTCATATTTTCAGAAAGTTGCACTATTGAAATAATTTTGTTTTTAACATATAGTACTACTTTCCATTTCACATGTTTGCCATAGTTGGACTATAAGTTTAATCTTAATATTTATATGATTATAGGACATTTGAAGTCCATAACTCATGCGATCGTATTGTGTGATTATAAAATTTTCCTATTTATCAGAAAAATAATATAAAACTTCATTTTTTTTTAATTTTAAAAGAACTAACATAATGCCAAAATAAATACAACAGAGAAAATAATATTAAATTCTCTTAATACTTATACTGGACAAGTACACGTGCCCATACGAATGCCGTGTCACTTCACTATGACCAACCTTCTTGTCTTGTTGTGGGCAGCGAAGCTTACACTTGTTCACTAGCTAATTATGATGGTTCACCAGGGCCTCTTTGCTCCTCCCTTTTCTGTTCACTCGTAGGGGTCGGGACCCCCACAAAGGGAGAGGGAGTCGACTGAACATCTCAGCCGTTGGCGGAAATTTCGCCCACATTCGATTCTCAATTCTTGTTCACCCCGAATGATCGTTGTGTTTGATTGAATATAAAATTTATAATTTTTTAAGACTAAAGTAAGTGTCTAAGAATCCGTTTGATCATGCAATATGAAATTGTGATATGAAATCACGATATGAAATCACGATATGATATCATAATATAAAATCATGAGATAGATCAGTAGGTCATAAAAAACGACAAGTGATATGTTATAAACCATCTCTTTAGTAAACATAGATAAGTAATTCGTAAAAAATGACAAGTGACATGTTACAAATCATACATTATTCTCTATAGTAAACATAGAAGAGTAATTCTTAAAAAACATAGTGACATGTTACAAACCATACATTATTCTCTATAGTAAACATAAATCGTAATTCAACAAAAACGATAAAGTGACATGTTACAAACCATACAGTATTCTCTATAGTAAATATAGACCATTAATTCTTAATTAAAAAACGATAAGTTACATGTTACAAACCAATTTATTATCCTTCTATAGTAAACATAGACCAGTAATTCATAAAAACAATAACTAACATGTTATAACAATGATAAATTAGTCGTGTATATAACTTAAATCCTTGATTCTATTTTGTACATAGTGGTCATCAATCAACTGATAAAACCTTTAATTTGTTCGATCAACTCTGTTGTTCTTGTTTGTGCAACTTGAGATTTGCTCAGTACTTGAAATGCATGGCCTACACCTTTAAACATCACATATTCAACAACCTTTTTATTACTAACTCTATTTAAAGTAGAACAAAACTCCAAATTTCTATCTCTCAAAATATCTAATTCAGATATACACACCAATATTCCAGGAATATTCCTTATATCCACCAAATTTACACCCTCTTTCCCAATCGGATTGCACCACGGGTGGTCTCGATTAACCTCCGTGGGCAATGCTAGCCGCCAGTATGTGTCAGCGCTCGCTAATGTGAGCGCTGATCGTGGCGGCTGGATAGTGTATTTTTCGGAGTAAGTCCTCGACTCTCCACCAAAAAAAGGTTGAATTAAAATGATACCTTTTAAAGTTATTGGCTTTAGGTCACCTATTTTCGAACGAAGCATTATAGCTACGTTATAAGCTATGTTCCCACCAGCACTATCACCAACCAAATAAATATTAGAAAAATTAACCTTATTTAACCACCAATAATCTTCGTTAGAACCAATAAGCACTTTTTGTCTTATCCAAACAATCGTCTTAACCCCATCATCGTAAGCCGATGGAAGACGATTTTCGGGGGCTAATCGATAATTAACAGACATAATCACACAATTAGCAATTGATGCTAATTTAGCTAAGAACTCATGGTAACAAATCCAAGATGATGATCCAACACAAAATCCACCACCATGGAAATAAATTAACATAGGTAATTTATTTCCTTGACATAATATTTTTGGAACATATAAACGTGCCCAAATATTTGTGTACCTATCAATTACAACATCACTAGAGGTAACACCAAGTTCAAGAGGTAATTTATTAGTGACATTTGGTACTATTTGAGGTCTTTCAACATGACCATCTTTGTAGACTTTAATAAGACCTTCAATTTCTTCTAATAAAACTTTATGTTGTGGATATTCTTTGATTTTTTGAAGGTTGAAATTTGGATCATAGGTTATAGTTGTCATTCTTCTTTTTCTCATGAACTCAAGAATGAAGAAAAAAGGATGAAGAGGAGGATTTTTTGTTGTTTTTTTGGTTATATAATAAGATTGTGGTTGATGAGAAGTTGTTTATATAGGAAATGAAAAAGATAAGATTGGGCTAGTTAGCTTTGAAGGCTTATGAAGTATATTTATTATAAAGAAAGATGGATTGATCGTCCACTTATGATATGACAAGTGGCGAATTGGGAAATTGCCACATGTCTTCACTTGGAGTCTATAATTGTGGGCTAAGTGGTATTGGCTTCCATTATTCAACCCCCTACCGCCGCCGCCCCCCAGAAAAAATTTCGTCCACATTTAAGTTTCGATAGAATTCAGTAAATTTAGAATATATTTTATGTTTGTATTAAAAACTTTATTAAATATATATAAATATTAAATTCAGAATTAAATTACTGATATTTGATATTGTTATTTTAATTCGAAATTCATAAAATTTAAATTTTGTCATGCGGACCCACCCCTCAGCATCATAAGTGGAAAGATGAATCATTTTAGTCAGTCAACTTTTGGATGTTTCTTGGTTTTGAGTATTTGATTGGTTGTTGTGGTTTTAAACAAAGAATTAAGTCTAAAACAAAGTCTTTCACCATGTTGGGACACGAAAATATCATGTTTAGTATTCACACGCATTGATAATTATATATTTTATGGTTCAAATTTATCGAATTAAGTAAAAAGCAATAGGTTCAATAAAACATCGTATTTGTTGTAACATGTTTAGAATGCTTTTGAGATTTATATACATCATTAGGATAGGAAATGAATATTTACATTGTTGGAATTAGGGGTGTACATGACCGGATTGGTTCGGGTTTTTCAAATACCAAATCAAATCATTGTGTCAAATTTTTAAATTTATAAATCAAACCAAACTAATAAACCTCGGATTTTTTCAGATTTTTGGATTTTTTCGGTAAAGTTTGCATACAAACATATAACTAACTTGTGCTCCAAATATTTCTTTAGTCCAACCAAAATACAATTATCTAAGGTGTTTTTTTTAAAAATAACACAAAATATGAGATGAGTACTGATGACACAAAAATATTCAATAAAAAATAATAATGAAATCATCATATAAAATAAATATTGCAAAGTCATAATGAAAATGATCATAATTTAAAAGTACTAAATCATGCTAAAATAAGTTTAATAAGTATTAGTTATATTACTAAATATTTAAGGAAAATTAAAATTAGATTATGTAATTTAATTGTCTAAACCAATGTAAAACTAAAGAACAAATATTCAATATTATTGTCATTCTTAGTGTTGAATTGATTTTCTTTTTGCATTAGTATTAATTTGATTTTGATTTAAGTTTTATTATAATTATCAACATCTATGAACTATAATCTTTATTGGACCATTCCGAATTCTAAGTTTTAAACTTGAAATAATATATTAAAAGATAAAAACTATGAAATAGTATAAGAAATATGTTAAAATTATATCAAAGTAAATATTTTTATGTATAAAATAAAATTTTAAAATTACATATGTAATGTCGGGTTGGTTTGGTCTCGGGTTGTTTTTTTTTTAGTTAAAACGAAACCAACCCAAATATAGTCGGATTTTTTTTCCAATAGCAAACTAAGTCAAACCAAACCACTAGTCGGATTTTTTTTCCAATTTGACTCGATTTGCGGTTTGGTTTGGTTTGGTTTTGTACACCCCTAGTTAGAATATTTTTATTTGGGATTGTACGTAACATATCTTATTTTTAATTATTAAATGTCTAATAAGATTTATATGTATATAACCTTAAAAGCATGAACTCCTAACTTAAATGTTAAATTACTATAATATCCCTAACTTAGGTTGTGACTTTTTCGATGATTTGTGACTTTTCTGATAAGTTGTGACTTTTTTCAAAGGTTGTGATTTTTCGATAAGTGGCTTTTTCAAAGTGTTGTGACATTTTCAATAAGTTGTGACTTTTCCAAAGGGCTGTGACTTCTTGGAAATGTCATGACTTTTCAAATAACCCCCAACTTAGGTTGTGACTTTTTCGATGATTTGTGACTTTTTTGATAAGTTGTGACTTTTTCAAAAGTTGCAATTTTTCAATGAGTTGAAACTTTTTCAATAAGTTATGACTTTTCCAAAGGGTTGTGACTTCTTGGAAATGTCATGACTTTTCAGATAAGACACAAAAAATATTTGTTCATACTATCCTTTGTTGACTATAAATAGAGGGACTTCCTCTCATTATTCAACCACATTTTTTTTAATCATCTACTCTTCTTCTTCTTACTTTTTTTTTTTTGTGATTTATTGTCATTGAGTGAGTTCGAAGTTTAGCGGAATATGAGGTACTACTATTCTGATGAAGTAAGTTGTTCTACCCTAAAAGGATATATTCCATAACCTTGAGTACTTGAGGAAAATTATTTTGATGATATAATAATTACTTTTTTTCTTAATATATACATTAGTAAGTAATGTTCCAATATATGAAGCTTGCATGATATAGTCTAAATTCATTTGTTTTTGTTAACAATTTTTCTTGTGATGTAGATACATAAATAAAGAGAGAAACTTGAGATGAAAAGGAGGATGTCAAGTTCCTTTGTGTTGATACTCAATTGAGGAAGCTTTGTTTGTTTTGGCAACTCAACAATTCTCACATGCTCAAAAATCATTCATAATATAATGATAACTGTAGCCCACAGGAAAACAACAAAGTAGACAAGGTCATCATCACTTTTCATCTTACCATTTCACCCATTGAGTTATTAGTTTTGATTGTAAGTCCACTATTTCAAAAATATATTTTCACTATTACTTATAATATGATTATATAGCCATGATAAAAAATATTTTTTAAATAGATATATAGGTAAAAATGAACAGAAAAATAAAGTGTTTGGTGACAAAAGATTTCAATCAAATGGAACACTAAAGTTAATATTGCATGAAAAATTTCCTGTTATTTTGTGTTTATTTTAAACTAAGAAAATATTATGTCACAAGATACACTCCTTGTTAGGTATATAAAATTAGATAAGAAAATAGTTATTGGTTATAAAGTGATCTCAAATCAAATTAAAGATTCAATAAATAATACATTAAATTTTATTCATCTATCAATTTTTTTAATTGAAATTTTTTAATGTTTTATGTTACGATACAACTTCTATAATATACTAGATATTAAATACTTTCATTAGACAACAACTATATGATATGTATGCGGCATGAAAAATGAGAACACTACAATTCCATAAAGATAAGGTAGAAACTTAAAGAAATAAAATATTTTTTTCATTATAGGTGACGTTGTTCATATATTAACATTAAATTATGCTACTGAAATATATATATATATATATATATATATATATATATATATATAACAACATTTCCCTTTAACAACCTAATTTTCTTTAGAACTAATTTTTGATGTTATATTTGTTTTATCTCTATAACATTCTACTTATAATAGTGTTGACATTCACCATAGAAGTACCCCTTTTTCGTAAAATTACCTCTCTATGATACCCTTACTCACATATTATTTGAGTAAAACTATTTTCTAAAAAATATATATTACGTATAAAGATAAATTTTGGAAATATTTATGGTAATGATTATGCACATACTAAATTTCAAGCATGAATATTTAAAAGAAAATTTGTACTTAAATGGTATCCATATGGTCATAACCTTAAAAGGAAAGACTATTGGTGACTTTTTTTATATTGATATTTTTTTTTCTACTATGTTGGTTAAATTTGTTTACAAAATTGAGTGAAGCAAAATATCATATTGCTAAAGAAATGTCACTTTCTTCTCATATTTAAACTTTGAATGTATTTTGAAATGTACCAATTAATGATATTTGACCATTTTGATCTAAAAAGACAAGTAATTCTATGACAATCTGTAATAATGATTATTATTGATTTTAGTTATAATCCCTCCTTATCACTTTTTTATGTTCTTTCAATTATAATCATTTACTAAAAAGCTTCAATTTAGTAATATTAATTCCATTTTACAACATCGTATAGCATATAATACGATACACATGTACAACGCACGTACCGTGAAACTAGTTAATTAAAATATACGAAAATTAATTCGAACATCATAATTATCAAACAGACATAAAGTTGAGATAAGATAGAATTAACGGGCCCTAACTTCTGGCTGCACCCCATTAACATCATTTCAAAGAAACTACATTATGTTGATATTTGACCCATTTTCTTTTTATGACCGTCCAAATATATGAACATTATTCGACATTTTTGTTCCACTACAAAAATGCCTACATGTGGACTTCAAATGGGCAAGTCATTCCTTTCACTTTGGAGAAACTAAAAATCTCTTTTATTTTGGGTTGATGGGTGGGGGGTCAAACAACAACAATATATTCAATACGTAATATTATACGTAAAATCTGAAAATAATAAAACGTACACAAATTTCATTCTTATCTCTATTATAGAGTGAGATTTTCAAAAGAATTTTATAGTATTTAAATTCCTAAAAAAATGATATAAATGAAAGGTGTGACTGTTGGGTATTAATTGCCCTGAGTTTCTTACCATAAATAAGTTTTTCTTTTAGGAAAAGGTTTTGGAGTGACTAGTCTTTTTCTTGTAGGAAAATGTTTAAGACTCTATAAATAGATGTTTGTTCCTTCTAACTTAATCAACATTCACAATGTTGTCCTACGGTTTTGAGAGTTCCAGTTATGGGGGAGAATTTGTGAACCTACTTGTATTTCGAGTGAATTGGTTGAGGTTATTTCTCTCTATATTTGGTACTTTCATATTTATAGTGGACGTAGGTCGATTGACCGAACCACGTTAAATTTTTGTGTCTTTTGGTGTGTTTCTCGTTTGTCTTCATATTCATGGTCTTTCGAGATTTGCTTTGTTAGCTTCCGTATTACACCTGCTTATTTCGGTCCTAACAAGTGGTATCAGAGTCAGGTTCAATGATGGAGTCAGGTTCAGTGGTTCGATAATCGATGATTTAACCAAGTTAGAGATGGGTGTTCATCTTGGCGGGTGTAGTTCTAGCC